TTTTGAGTTGCATTGGTGAGCTATAAAGCTTAATATAAAATTGTGATGACCGTTTGTGATATTGTGTTGGTATCAGTTTATAAGCTGTATGTAGTATATGTAGGCCTATATGTATTTGGGGGGGGAGAGGGTCGTTTTTTTAATGATCTCACCCATTGCCTTTAATGTATGTTGAGTGCTCAATTACAATGCATTCCCTTAAACATAATAGTCATGCAATGTATTTATGAATGACCCAGCACTGTTGTCAAAATAATGGGTTTTTTTTGCGAGTGAGCAAATCGTTTTCTAAGGCATCTTCAAATCGAGGCCAACCTATTTTCAATATCTCTACAATATATCTACAATATTTCCAGAATATTTCTACAATATCTCTACAATATCGCTACAGGTTTCTGAATGAATGCTAGTTACAGCAGTCATTTACTTAATCTCTTATTGGACTTCTAAAAAAAAAGTAAAAACAGGAATGTATGGTTTATGATTTTTTTAGATATTGTATCTTAGATATTTTGTCGCGTTTATTTTAATTGATGACTGTTGTATTTATAATTTGAACGAGGTTTTTGTATGTGAAATTCTGAATGAAATTTCTTAACTAAATTTTTTGTCAAAGTTTTTGTTGTTGTTGTATTGAATGACGATAGTTGTATGTTATATTTTCAACAAGATTTTTTTATTTGTTGCGTCAATGATGTTTTTCCATATCACTTGCATGTTTATACCTATAATTCTGATTACTAGCATGTTAGTGTTACACTTCAATAAACTTGAGATTTCCTACCTGAATGCAATACCCAATAACCAGTGATATATACATAGTCATACATCATACTATATTGTTTTGTATGGTGCCTTTAATTGCTGTAAATGAAAGCTAGAAATTTTATATGTAACAGAAAATATATTATCTTCACCGAAATTTCATTTTATTTTTACAAAAATATTCTAACAGTTTTATAAACATTGTATGTTGCTAGTTATACCAGAATTGCATCCTCTACAGTGTAGAAAAATAACTACTTACAGATTGTATTAAAGTTTAAGTTTGTATGTGGGTCGACTATAATAACGTCACGCAATGAGAATTTTTTTTTTACCACCACCCTTACTCCTTCACACATCGTCACAAAAGCCAGACCACCACCCCTCTGCCAAAGTGACGTCATATACTTGCATCCTACCTTAAATAATTATAACAGGCGTATGATACACGCTAATAACAAATAAAAATTGTTACTTCAAATCTTCACAGACATTTCTAGAACTCGGCCATAAAAATAGGAAAATCAACCCCCCCCCCCCCCCCCCCTCTTATTTGCATTATTTGCACGTCATGAACGTACGACCTCAGGACCAATAGAGTTTGAATGATTAACAATTTTGCTGATTAATATCTCATGTAACAGAACTCTCTTGTGTGTAAGTAAATTAATATATTATGTATCTATTTATGGCATACGTTTTTTGACTTAGCTATCGATGAACATAAATGTTTTTAAATAAAATTCTTAAAAGTTTGCTTTATGCAGTTCTTAAACTCGTATATCTCAGTTCTATTGTGCCAATCAGGGGTCGGCATAAGAATATTCCTTGCTCCAGACTGTGTGTTGGGTTATGTATATACAGTATTTCAAACTGACATGAATATAGGTGGTGATGAGGGGGGGGGGGGGCTGGAGCGTGACAAATAACGGCATGCTCTTGAGTTCTTATTGGGGACATGCATAGATAGTCTTATTATCTGCTTCCTCTCCGAAATTTTACTCATCGCCCTCTAACCTTAAACACCCCCACCTACCAACCTTAAACACCCCCACCTACCAACCTTAAACACCCCCACCTACCAACCTTAAACACCCCCACCTACCAACCTTAAACACCCCCACTTACCGACCTTAAACACCCCCACCTACCGACCTTAAACACCCCCACCTACCGACCTTAAACACCCCCACCTACCGACCTTAAACACCCCCACCTACCAACCTTAAACACCCCCACCTACCAACCTTAAACACCCCCACCTACCGACCTTAAACACCCCCACCTACCAACCTTAAACACCCCCACCTACCAACCTTAAACACCCCCACCTACCGACCTTAAACACCCCCACCTACCGACCTTAAACACCCCCACCTACCAACCTTAAACACCCCCACCTACCGACCTTAAACACCCCCACCTACCAACCTTAAACACCCCCACCTACCGACCTTAAACACCCCCACCTACCAACCTTAAACACCCCCACCTACCGACCTATATCCACAATTTTCAAGAACAAGTACATGTATTGAATCTTTAATATGTAAAATGGAATATAATTTTTTTTTTATACAAAACAGTTTTTATAAGCACTACACCCTGTATCCTAATCTCATCACAAAACTACACCCCTCGTTCTTCACGACCCCCCCCCCTTCCAAATCTTTACACTCCCCCATCGTCACACCCTAGGTTCACATGAGTCATAGGTTATTTACCACAGGGTGACATCAATACCAAAAAAAAACTTTTACCCAATAAATAGTGCTTTATTAAGTTAAAATAATAAAATAACAGAAAAAGATGTGACATCAAATATAAGATGCAAAACGGTTGCAGGGGTGATGTGACACCCTCATTAACCGCCTCGAGTGACACCCGACATAGTGACGCCACTGAGTAATTTACATCAGTCAGCTGTTAAATAACCTGAGTGCTAAATTTAGTTCAAAACTTCACGGGAGGTAACTGCGATAAATGTAAAGCTAAATATTGATCAAGTACTTTCCCTTGTTGAATAACATTTCAAAATAATTTTTAAAAAATACTTTTTTTAACTTACTGTTTTTTTTTTTATTTTGACATAGACCTAGCCTACTCATAACAGGTGTCTTTATGACCATTTCGGTTTATTTAGTAGGTGTTAATCGCCATACTGAACACGGGCTAGAAGCGGCTTCTGTCTGTGAATCGCTGATTCCTTTTTATCAGATTTAAAAAAAACAAACACCAGCTACAAACAGCAGCTACAAACAGCAGCAATAAAGCCAGCATTAAATACCAGCAATAAACACCAAACACAAACACTGACTAGAAACACCAGCCACTCAGCCACAAACACTAGATACAAACAGCAATTACAAACACCAGCTACAAACACCAGCTACAAACACCAGCTACAAACACCAGCTACAAACATCAATTACAAACACTAGCTACAAAAACCTGCTACAAACCCCGGCGTTGGCATGCTTTAGCGAACGTCTACCTTTCCGGATGTCTCGATGTGGCGGCCATCTTGTCCCAATCACCGAGGTCAATCCGCCGAGTTGTTTGTTCATAGAGTACGACTGTAATCGGAAGTGGCAAGGGGAGATCATTCTAAAATTAAACCGTGCGACCATCGGGTTGTTTACCTTTGGCGTCAACAACAGCTCAACGTTGTGAGTTGTCATCACATTGGAGAGAATGATCGCCATTTTTTTCCCGCTGAAATTTAAAAGACTAGTAACACGAACCCGTGCATGGCAGTTTGTAGCGTCCATCTCTGCTGTTTACTTTGCTAACACTGTGATTTTAATTTTGTTTTCGGGTTTTCTTCTAGATTCCAAGCTTGCCTGTGTACTTACGAAACACTCAATTCTGAATCAAGAAACTTTTTCTATCGCAATGATTGGTGATTAAAAAAATAAAAAATAAAAAAATGCTAGAAGGGAAGTAAATCTCATGGATTAAAACTAACTTGCTCACACTAGATATAATTTCTTTAAATGCTGACTGTATTTCTCCCATTGCTGTTTGTAACAGCACTTCATTTTACACACAATTCATTCACTTTAAGTTCAGCTACAATCGGTTATATCATATTTCACCATAAGCTACGGTCTAATCTAATGTAAAAATCACGTTTAACATTCGCAATCATTAACTATCATGTATATATCTAATACGCTGGCAATGTTGTATTACGGAAAACTGTAGCCAAGCTGTACTAGTCCTCACAAGCCTATGCTGAAAACTGTAATACTAAAGCTCACATAACTAGGCAAAATCACGCTGTAAATTATATATCTATAACTTACTTAATGGTAGTCATTAACTATAAATTATATTGGTATAACAAACAAAAAATAAAGCTGTAAAAGTTAGACGGTCAATTTCAGTGAATTATATAAAATTTACGTCTGAAATTGTTGTGTTAAATGACATACACACTATGACTGGCTGACGTTGCTCAATCAATAAAACAAAATGTAGTGTGTGGTTTAAAAATGAAACGAAAATTGATAGTACCAAAACCGTTTAAAGCTTGTATTATCTGTAATTTTATTAACTACGGTCTCGATTATTAGGATGAAAACCATAGACAAACTCCGTTAATCGTGGTTTCTTTTAACGGGTAATGGTACATTATAATGCTATTCACGAAACTTCAAAAGATTAACTATTATCTACTTTTTAAATTAAGCTAAATATACATATACAATAAAATCTAATGGTGTTTCGTATATACCGTAGTAAGATTGTAACGAGATTATTTAACGATCCCGCTCACTCAACGACACAAACAAACATTCCTCCATTTTTTTTATATACACATAAGGAGAAACAATTGGGCACATCGGGTTGCATAAAATAGCGAATAAATTATATTAAAATGAATAAAAAGTTTAAAATTCAAAGAATTTTTTTTTTCGATATTAGAAGATTAAAGTTGTGGTAAAATGTTAATATTGGATTTCAAAAAGCTGTTGATTATGCCGTGTTTAGAGTTTAAGAAATTAATTTTGATAAATATAGAGAGAATGTGAATACATTACCGATAAAACTTGAATGTATAACCTACGTTTTTATTCAGCGAGATTATTTTGTTCGTCGTCAAAGTAAAGAAAAAAAAACTAACATTTCTAGATACAATTTTAACAAAATTAATTAGTCACAAAGACTTTGTTTTGATTAGACAGAAGCCGTATTTAGAAGCTTGACGTCAGAACGCGTCCGACGGCATCATGACATGTACAACACGTGTCTTATATTTGGTGGTGTTGATTACGTCACAAGTTCCCAGTCTAGACTCAAGTGAGGCCAATAGCTACAAAAATAACTTTAGCGACTGGAGAGCCGACGATGAATTACAGACAGACACTTCTGTTACTTCACAAATTTCTCACACCGTTTCCGATGTCCGAATTGAGAATCGAACGGAGATTGTTCCGGGTTTTGGATACATAGACAGATTACACCAGACAACAGAGAAACGGTTAGACAGACATTTGGAAAAAGAAACGGAACAAGCAACAGAGACCATTATCAAAGAGCTCGATTTTCTCGGCCAGGATGACGTCATTGCTCAACCCAGAAATCTCTCGCGGTCTTCACATGGTATCAACAACACGGGACTGATACCGGAAGTGGAGACCAACTCCATCGACAACACCTCCCAACTCCACCCAACATCCACCACAGCTCCACCACCCTACAGAAATATTCGAATCATCTTAAAATGGTACACGGCCGTTGTCGTAAATCCTGTAATCGCCCTGTTCGGCATTGTGGGCAATTTACTCAACTGCGCCGTTCTGAAACGGAGCGGATTCCAGAAACCTTCCAACATCTTTCTCTTTAGTCTGGCTATCGCTGATATTTGCGCTTTGCTGGGCGCCATGGACGTTTTCAAGTTCCTTGTCCAGTTTCCTAAACACCTACCATTGGGGAACAATTTTTTGGAATACGCATGCGCGGAGCAATGGCAGGTAGAGGTCCTACTGCGCATGTCTTCACTTAATGTCGTCATCAGCAACATAGGTTTGAGTACAAGCACTTGCTTATGTGTGGTCATAACCCTCGAACGCCTGCTCGCTGTGTTCTTCCCACTAAAATTCGCCATCATCCTTACACCCAAAAGAGCGTGGATAATATCCATATGTGTATCCATTTTCTGGATAGGCTACACGTCCATGCTTTTTAAAATATTCGTCTTTTCTTACCTGCAACTCTCTGACGTCACATCCTGTGCTGCCACCTACTACATACATCTAAACACGGACGAAACGGCCCTAGATACCGTAATGGGCTGGTTCTCTAGTTATCTGTCGCTGCTTATAATCGTGACTGGTTCGGCTGCCATTTTCTTCAAGATCGCTTCAATACAAAGAAAACGGTTAAAAATGACGTCATCGGTTTCTGCGTCCTCCTTACGCACCACGCAAACTTTACTGACCGTGTGTTCCGTTTTCGGGTTTACCCAATTGATACGTTTCCGGTACGTCATGTTTGAGACGGTGTTTGATGACGTAGATGTTGAGATGATGTACAGTATGGTTGTCGTGACGACATCCTACGCCAATAGCGCCGTAAACTTCGTCATCTACGTCACGCTGAACAGGAAGTTCAGGACTATTTTACTGCGCATGTCGGGGTGTAAGACGACCGGAAATTCGTCGTCCCTCGTCAGTTTGACAAAAGCTAATTAATTAATCATCAACTACTGTTTGTCGGGTTTACCAATGCACTATATAAATTACGTAAAATATTGTAATGTGTAATACATGTATTTAATGTTGTCAAAGATACTCCACCCCATCGACCCCCCCCCCCCCCCAATCCCCCTAAACAATTTTTACCGACTGAGCCATGCCGTCGCAGACATCAGATCCAGTTGTTTTTATTGCAAGCTTTCATTAAGTTCACAAACTCTGTTTATTTATTGATTTGTTTGTTTGTGGATTTGTGGCAAATCTTTCAACTCATTTTAACCCGCTTCTTATGTAACGATTCCGTCCACGCTTTCAAGATAAATTTGTCTCCAATGACAATGCAAGAATATCTACATTTCAATCTAGTTAGACACTAGATTAATCATTGAAATTTAATTCTCTAGATTACAACACTTCAATAATAAAACGTGAAAACATGATAGAGTAATAGCTGTCGCTGGATCAGCTGGCGGCGGTGAAGTGTTGGTCACGGATGGTTGATTTCACACTTATAAGTCGACGACGGACAAGAAGAGGGAGAGAACCGACTTTTAGAGATCGCAACTCGATCACGTTTTAACTCAAACGTTTTTAGTTCTACGTATTGTTAACTTCATTAAGAAAGAGTTACTAAAATGTAGAAAATAAAGAAAATATTTTTCAAAACATTTATAATAATATGCTCCATTAGTTCTTCTTATTCTAACCTTACATTATAATAAACTCCTAACCCATGTAGGAATAAGTCCCAACATCAGTTCTGTATTTTTCAATCTATTTTTTATTTTGAGGAAACGTTAAACCGAACTCTTAGCATACGTTTTTTATATCATTGTTGTAAACACATTGTATTTCAACAACGCTTTGAAGTCACTTTTTTTAAAATACAGAGCTCAACTTGCTAATTAACTTTGGAATAATTTTATTTTAATATTACAAGATTTAAGGAACTAAACCTTGAGAACAACAGTGACAAAAATCCAGGCTTTCATCAATAGACGCATTCAAATTTATCTTAAATTTAGCGGCGTGAGAAAGTAAGAAACGATTCCTTTTTAGACCTAGCGGTCGATTGGGCTATGATGTAGATTCAATATGTTTTTTAACCTCGGCATGAAGGTATAATATTATGGTCAGCACTATGCCCAGCCGCCTTTACTTTCCCTAGCGTGAGTCAGGTAAACATCAGAGCAGGGTGGACTCAGTGACGGTCCACTAACTTGAACCCGGACCCGTTTTCAGGACTGGCAGTCTAGCGCTCTACCGCATGGCCACGACGTCCCAAGGTGTGAAAAAGTAGAAATCACAAAAATTGCTAGACAGGCACTACACCTCTGGCCTTGAGTGAGGCTGTATGTACGTCAAGAAAAAAAAACGAAGTTCAATATGATGCAGTTTTTAGTTTTAAATTGACGATTAACTTTTTTTTTATGATTACATTTATTCAATACGAAATGGCTAACAGATATTACTACACAGCTTTAAACTAAAACACGAATATCACATTAAAAAACCAGGGAGATTACTCCGGTAAAAAAAAATGTGTTTTTTTTAAAGGGTCATTCATTTAAGACCCCAAACGGAGGGAAGTGGGCAGTGTTTCTTTCAGACTTTTTTTCTCCGGGGGGGGGGCTTGAAATTTTCGGACTGAACCCCCCCCCCCTGAGGTGATGTCCGGAAGAAACACTGGTAGTGAGGGGGGGGGGGCGTGGAAAAAAATAAAAGTCTACTTCTGTGAACAGGTTTGGACTGGGTGGGAGGGGTCATACATGTGGACGTCCACAAAAGTCGATTTTTTTCGTACTCCCCCCCTCCGTATGGACGTCATACATTAATGACCCCTAGTTGGTGTAAAAATGGTTGTGCTGATAATAAATATATAACAAATCAAGTCTTGAGTTAGTACAGGGGAACTGAATGAACACGGAACTTGAAGTCAAGAAAGGGCTTAGGAAAACAATTTGTTTTATATTTTGTGTACATGTGCGTGCTTCTTTTTCCTTTTTAATCTATACTAGAATACCCGTCATCCGTTGGATAACTGTGGGTTTCGGGGGTCATCCATCAAAAAACATCACGTCTGTCACTCAGAGGCATAGCGACCCTTCCCGGCGCCCGGGGACAAACTTTTCGATTTTAACCCCCCCCCCCCAAGATTTCGATTTTCAACCCCCCCCCCCCCCCCTCAAACTTTGGATGTGCACCCCCCCCCCCCCCCCCACTCAAACTTTCGATTTGAACCCCCCTCAACCTTTCAATTTATTTTTCCAAACCATTTTGGCGCCCCAACATATGTCCCCCCCCCCTTCCCCCCTCCACCTCCCCCCGCCTCCCCTTCCCCCCCCCCCCCCGCCTCCCCTCCCCTCCCGCACCCCCCTCCTCGCTACGCTACTGCAGTGTCACTTATCGTCACAAAAAACAGACCCCACATTCAAAAATATGTTTCTTATCTTTTAAAAACACCGAAAACACCAATTTCGGACTATCCCTTCATATACTGACGTCACATGTGACCTACTCAACTCTACTTCACCTGCCCAGTGTCCCGCCAAGTCTCAGACAACATGTTTTTATCGTTTAAAAAACGATTCCAGCCGAGCATGTCTCTGACCACACTATCCTTTCATATGCTTAGGACAAAGAAACAGATGAACTCTACTTCACCTGCCCTGTATCCTGCCAAGTTCAGATAGGCAACTTTATCATATACATCTAAAAAAAAAAATTGAAAAAAAATATCATTGACATATTGGTCTAGAACCTGTGCCACCCGCATGAGAGCGGACTACGCTACCAGCTTAGCTATTTACTCGTGACGTCACAAATGAATTTTTATACTATACTTTTGAGTCTCCGCGCATAGATCTAGATTCTAGATCGAAGTCTAGTAGTAGAATCTAGTAACTTTCAAATTAAATTTTATCTTAAATTAGCCAAACAAAGATTTATATAAAATAATTAAGGCCTGAAATAGATTCTAGATGTATTAAGGCCTGAAATAGATTCTAGCTGTAGAATTTACATTAAGTCTAGATCTAGAATTTACATTGAGTCTAGTGACCTAGATCTAGGCTAGATCTAGATCTAGATCTAGGCTAGATTCATAACTTTCCTTCGACAGCTGATCTTTAGATCTAGAGAAATTTATTGTAAAACTAAATGAAAAAAGACAGTTTAAAATTGATATAAGTGTTGGAACGTAATAAATACAGCAAACGGACGTATTGTTAAAGTTATGACCGCCAGAAAATTAGATTTAGAACGCGTTAAACTTTTGAATGGGAACACAATTTTCTTCGATAGACGCCGCCATTTTATTGTACTAAAGAGTAAACAAAAAACTGTGACGTCACGGTCCCGCCGAGTGTAGTGGTCGTTCTAAACTTTAAAAAAAAATGGGTTACTCTGCGTATGAATAAATCAATAAATTAATTAACGTCTTTAAATAAATGTGTGATTAACAGTCTGTCTTAAAACAAAAATTTTTCTCTACCTACATACTATTTTACAGCTTTCCACGATGAGTGCAACCATGCGAGATAGTCAATCAGGCAAACAAACAAACAAACAAAAAAACAAACAAAAAAATAAATATTCAAACATGTAAACAAACTTGACTTTTAGTAGTATATAGATTATCTCATACATATCAGTACACATCGAACATGCCACTAACACATCAGGCATACTTGTACACAAAACACACATTCCACTACGATTCACACATAATAAAGGGGAAAATGAAAAGCTAAAAATAGAATCTGAAAATTACAAATTGGAAACCGAAAAAGGTACACGGTGCCATCTTTCTTTTAACAACAATTTTGGACAATTCAGTACTAACTTAATTTGATTACTTTTTTTTTTCTTTTATAACAATTTAATACAAAAAATTAAGTTTTGTCCGTTCGATTAATGAATAGCACAAATTTCAATTTCGCTAGATGATTCTGCTTTGCATGATGAAACGTAGTGCAACTTTGTGAAGTCTGTGCATGGTGTTCAGCCGGTTCGACTCAGTTCACGAATGTTTATCAAAGAATAAGAAATATAATTAATTATAATTAATTTTAACACATTTTTAAACTTAAATCAAATACAGTGTGTAATAAGATAGGAAGTTTATGTTTTATTTTCAAGACTAAGACTCTGCGAGAAATATAGAAGTTAGTTCAAACTTTGCGGCCATTTTGGAAGGTTGAAATCCTACTTGTGGTATTTTTCGTGTAGCTAGTAAGGTAGGATATTTGGAAACATTTAATTTATATTGAAATATTTTAAAAATAGAATATTTATTGATAAGCATAGATTAGTACTGCAACGAAAGTGAAACTTATAATCTGACTATATCTGATATACAAAATATTTAAGAGGAAATTCTGTGATGTGCAGTTGTTTAAACGACAGCCATTTTGAACCTGTTGGATTTTATGTAATGTAATTCTTTTTTTTTTTTTATAAAGAAGAAAATGCCATTTAATTTTTAAAAATATATAGTTCTAAAGAATACAAAGCCCCTCTAACAACAATAAAACAAATCAGAAAATAAAAAGGCACTCTCAAAATCTAAAAATAGCATTTGTCTTTTGTCTACATCAATATCTACACCCTTGTTTTCATAACATGTCTACATACAATCTAGATCTACTAGACTAAGGTAAAATGACTGTAAACAACGTGTATTTTATTTTGTCAACTCGTTTAATATTAAAAGAAGTTTATTTTCAAAAAAAATTTGAAGTTTTAAACATTTCAATGTTAGATATAGCATTTTATTTTTCTCTACTCATGCGTAGCTTTAACCTACATTTTTCATAAACATTCAAGCCTTGTAATATTTAAGTAATTTAGACAGTAGGGCCTATATTACACCAAACGGGATTAAATTTATACCATGCAATATGCAATACACTACACTATTTTATTCAGTTTTATTCCTACTGGTAGTTAGATACGGTTAGGATTAGATACAAGAATTGAGAGAAGATTAGAGTCAG